GCACTTGCTCATCACAGAATGATTTCAGATCATCAAACTGTTTCCCCCAAAATTCCTAAAATTGAGCAAAAAGATTTATGTAAGTAGCTAACACTTTTTCCTCCACAGAAGAGACAGTCCTCCGTCCCCCAGAGAATTCCAAACAAGAACAACTCACCAAAATATCCTTCTCAAGGTGTTTTAGAGCCTGAATATCCTTCTCAAGATTGCTCAACTCTTGGAGAACAGAATCGTGAAAGTGCTGTAGCTTATTGAGTCTGATAAACATAAAAGCAACACATTTCATGGGGTTTCTGGAGTGTGACGAACGGTATTTCACCAGATCTTTATTAAGAACATGGAAGAGGCTCCCTTCTCCTCCTCCTCTCCATGGCTGCTCATCCCCAGTCTCCAAACCCCCAACATGCAAACTCCCGGTTCATCTTTCAACCGCATCCGGGGAAGCTGGTGTTTCATTATCATTCTTAGGAGAGCACAGGACAGATGGCTCCAGGGAAGAGACAAGACGAAGGGCTCTCCGTTCCTTCTGCCTTCCACTTGCTGTCCCTTCTGTGTCAGGTCTTAAACTGGCCCTGAGAGCTGTGGTCAGGAAAGGGCTCATGACTCCATCTTTCCACCTGTTTTAGTTCTAGAATTTCTAACAGCTGCCGTTCTGATCTGACATATAGATTCCTTATGTTTGCTCTTTTGTGTCTCTCTCCTCTGTTAAGGTGAACATTCCATGAAGACAAGAGTTCCTAGAGCTTGCTGCTATAGTTTGGATGTGGAATGTCCCCAAAAGGCCCCCCGCGTTAAAGAACTGGTTCCCAAACTGGTGCTATTGGGAGGTGGTGGAAGGTTTAAGAGGTGCTGTCCAGCTAGGTCACTGGCAGCATGCCCTTGGCCCTTGACCCTTGACCCTTGACCCTTGACAAGGACTGCGGGATCCCAGCTCCTTCCCCGCTCTCTCCCTCCCTCTCTCTCATGTTCCAGGCATGAAATGAGCAGGTTTTCTCTGCCGTATGCTTCCAGCATGACTGCTGCCTGGTCACAGGTCCAAAGCAACAGAGCCAACTGATCAGGAATTGAAGCCTCCAAAACCGTGAGCCAAAATCAACTTTTTCTTATAAGTTGATTATGTCAGGCGTTTGTCACAGTCAGACTAACGCTGGTGCTCACAGCCCTCCTGCGCTGAGCAAGGAGGCTGGTACCCAGAATCACTCAATGTGCACCTGTTCAATGACTACATGGCCGAGCGTGAGCCCCTGGAGCAAAACAGGAGCTCCACAAATCCAAAGTCCTTCACGGGCTTGTTTGGACAAGTAGATGACATTGCATGTGTAGAAGAGTTGGAAAAAATATTACAAATGTCTATTTAAAGTATTCTACCCTAAGAAACTTTCTACGTTAGCAAACTGACTCTCCGTCCCTTTCTTCCCTTCCTTATCTGCAGCCCATTCTTTCTAATAAGGCACAATTTCTATACTCACCTCCCCTGCACCACTCAAATCCTTGTTTCCAAAGCCTACCTCAAGAAGCTCTTCCTTGGAGAATGTTCTGAATTCACTCTGATTACTACAGAATTTCATCCCTCCATTCCCCTTCCCACCCTCTGAAACTTGGGTGTCTTGGTGCTTCTTGCTACATGATCACAAGGGGGAAGAGGTGTGTGAGTGTGAGTGCATGGATGAGCAGCATTTTCTTATCATGGTTGATATACATAACATCAAATTTACTTTTAGCCATCTTTCACTGTGCAGTTCAGTGGCGTTAAGTTCATCACACAATGTTCGACAACCACCACCATTATCCATTTGCAAAATTTTTTTCCATCATACCAAACAGAAACTCTGCACCTATTAAATACTCTCTCAACTTTGGAGACCTCCAACGTACCTTCTGTGTCTATGGATTTCCATTCATACTCTTGTAGTTACCTCCTCTAAGGGGAATAATGCAGTACCTCTTGTGCCTGGAATCTTTCTCTTAGCATGTTTTCTAGGTTTATCTGTGTCACAGCATGTGTTAGAATTTTAATTCCCTTTTAAGGCTAAATTAACATTCTTAATTTATATGTCTGTATAAACTCTTAATGTATATGTCTGTACAATTCATTTACCCAGTATTTTTCACACATATATCCATACTTACCCTGTCTTCACACATGGATTTGAAAATTTTTTAAGAACAATATTTTGGGATCATATAATGGTAGACAATGAAAGGCCCAAGGAGGATATTTAGTTCATCTTATGGATGCAAAACCAGATACCTGGAGGGGTTGAAGCATGTATCAAACTCACATCTGGCTCAGGCTGCAGCTCCTCAGGCCCCCATACAGCAGTCGTGAGATAAATATTGTTTGTGAATAATCACATTTCCATGAATTGCTTTGAAATTCAATACTTACTTGCAGAGGCGTATCAGGTTTAAAAGTTTTATTATGCAAGTCGGTGTTTTCTTTGCCTTTTCTGGAAGAGGACTCTCACTGTACCTGAACTAAACCATAACAACAAAAACAAAATCATCAATTTGAATTAAACATAACTATATAAGTGTATTGTGTGCTTTGCATTAAAAAGATTCTGCCTGAACATTATAATATCCATAGTCAACATACTGCCCAGGAACAGTGATGGGGCACTATTCTGCATACCTTTCAGGAATTATCTCAAGCTTGGTACTAATAAAGAAAAATGAGAGAAATCAGAAAGCATATATTCATGTTGAATACTAAAAGCATGTTTTCATTATAAATTTTCTTGTATTGATATTGCGGGTAGTAAGACTTTGGAAGCCTTCCATCTTAATCAAATGAATGTTGGTTTTTAATCTTGAGGACCAGGCTGTGGGACAGGTTGGAGGTACAGCATTTCAAAGGTCTGCTACCAAGTCTACCATCACCTCTGTCTCAGAGTCCTCTCCTCCACACGGTCACCCTCTCCCCCTATCTCTGACTATCATCATGGGTCCAAGTCATTGCTCTCTGATAGTTCATTTGTCTGAGAAAGCGTCCAGTGGAACCCAACCATTCGTCTGATGTCCACATATTTAGTCCCGTTGGAGCATAAGGACATGGAACAGTTAGCTTATAAATAGAAACCGCAAAAATCAGCGACCACAGCTAAGACAAATACACCTCCCCAAAGACTCAGGAGCACCTTCACATAAGAAGAATAGCAACAGTACTGATGAATATTATATATATATATATATGTTTCTTTAAACTTATAACAAGCTAATTTTTCTATCTGTCTTATTTTCAGCTTTGCTGAGCTAAAATTGACAAAATTATTTATATTCAAGGGGAACATGTGGTGTTATACATACATTGTAAAATGATTATCACAACCAACCTGATTAACATATGCATCACCTTACTGTTACCTGTGTGTGTGCACCGTGAGAACACTGGAGATCTATTCTCTTCATGAATTTCAAGTACAATGACTAGCTATGTCACACCATGCTGTACACGGGGTCTCTAGAACTTACCCATCTTTTTATTAAGAGTTTGGTTTCTTTGACCAACATGTCCCCATATCCCTCATTCCCCTAACCCATGGTAACCACCCTTCCTCCCTCTCTGCTTACTTAAATTCCGTATTTGAGGTCATGCAGTATTTGTCTGGTTTATTTTCTTTTGAATAACGTCCTCCAGGCTCACGAGATAGTTTTTTCATTTTTGGCGGATGATTTACCTCGTATTTTCTTTTCATTTCTCCGGTGAAGTTTTCCAAGGCTGTGACGATGGCAGAAACATTCAAGTTCTCAGGCACATATTCCAGAGATGGAGTAGAAGTGCCTAACAACAAAAAAAATATATATATATTAAATAAAATTCACAAATGCTCAAAGGAGACAGGCTTGGTCCAACAGCTTCCCAGAGGATGGAAGAACCTGTGAGAACCACAGATAGGAACCACCCACCGATGCCCCACTGACTGAAACAGTGCACTCGGTGACCCTGGCCATGACTGTACAAGGTCAGCAGGTGCCTCTGACCAAGTGACCTCTCTCTCTGGCATGAGCTTATTTCATCCAGACTCTCTTAGTGCATCACTGTTCCAGATAACAGATGGGTTCATTCCGACCTAACCATACCTTCATGGAATATGATGGGCTCCATTTTGGTAGAGTACTTCCTCTTTCCCTTCTCTCCTTCCCTCCCCTGTCCACCCTTCCTCTACTCCGCGGGTCTTCCTTCTATTTATGTTTTCTAAATGGGTGCTTTATAGATTTAAAGGTGAAATTCGCTGCAGTATGTTCACGTATGCACATAGCATCATTTGGTCAATTTCATCCTGAAATTCCTCACTTTTCCCATCCCTACTCCTTCCCTCCCTCTCTCCCTCCTCCAAGTCCACTCATCTCCCTTCTGAGTTCCTGGGATCTCCCCTTCCCATCATTCCCTTTATTTTCATATAGCTTCCATACGTAAGAGAAAACACATTTAACCCTTGACAGAGTCTGGATTACTTCATTCAGCATTATGTTCCCCAGTTCCATCCACTTACCAGCCAATGCCATAATTTCATTCTTCGTTATGGCTGAGGAAAGCTTCATTGTGTATGTCTACTACACTGGGCTGTTTATATAACTTGGCTATTTTGAATTGTACTTCTATAAACATTGATATACCTATATCACTACATCATGCTGATTTTAGTTCTTTGGATAAATAACCAAGGAGTGGGGACAGCTGGTTCATATGGTGGTTCCATTCCTAGTCTTTTGAGGAATCTCCATACTGCTTTCCAAAGTGGTGGTATTAGTCTTCAATCCCACCAATAATGTATTCCTTTTCCCACACATTTATTACTATCTGTGTTCTTGATGATTGCCATTCTAACTGGAGTGAGAGGAAATCTCAATGTAGTTTTGATTTTGATAAATTCAGCAAAGCAGATAGAAGATCAAGATATGAAAATCAATACCTTTCCTATACTCCAATAATGAATCTGCTGAGAAAGAAATCAGGAAGATAACTCCATTCACTACAGCCTCAAAACAAAAAACAAACAAAAAAAAAACCTTGGGAATAAATCTAACCAAAGAAATAAAAGATCTCTATGATGAAAACTATAGAAGAATACAGTTTTTTTGAAGAATACTTTAGAAAATGGAAAGACTTCTCATGTTCTTGAACAGGCAGAATTAAAATTGTCAAAATGGCCATACTACCAAAAGCAATATACAGGTTCATTGTAATCCCCATCAAAATACCAAAGAAATTCTTCATAGAACTAGGGGGGAAAGTCCTAAAATTCATATAGAAGAAAAACAAAAATCAGAATAGATTATATATTTCTAACCCCGCCCCCCAAAACCAAGCAAAAAACAACAACCAAAACAAAAGCCCAAAAACTGAAGAAACCCAAGCCCCGAAAATAAACCCAAAAAAAGTAAAAAGCAAAAAAAAAAAAGCCAAGAAGGAAAGCCGCCTGCCTCCAATGAAAAACTGGGCAAAAAATTAACCCGCCCCAAAAAGAAAAAAAGGGGAAGTTTTAAAGTGTCTGCGGCTACAGTGATCTGAAAACTGTAATTTCCTTGTAATTCAGGCAGGTATACATTTCATGACCACGTATTTATTGCACTCTACTTCAACCGTTGGCTGGGTGCGGGACATTACCTGCCAAGCCGGAGGCTCCCTGAGCAGCATCTTCTAATCTTGATTGTTTTGGCAAAGCAAAACTCCCATCTGGGACGCCTAAGGGCAAACACAGCACATTGATGACTCCACACACATCCCTTTTGTCCAAAATGTATCTTGTGCGCTTTTCTTCCGTTAATATATAACCTTGACATACAGCAAGTGAAACTCATCCCCGGCCTGTTAATCATTACTTATCACTTGGTGCACCTAATCGAATAAGCGCAGCCTAAGTAAGTATCAAAACACAGAGCCTTCTGATGCAGAGGAGGGGAACAGGCATTCCTTTGTGAGCTCGGTTACATTTAGCAAGGCTCAGGCAGATTCCATAAACAGTGTTTCTAAATAAGGCCATGACAATAAATATCAAAAACATTTCCAGGGCTCTGGGCTCAATGGCAAAGTATCAGAATTTCTAGGCAGAGGGACCTTGGGAAGTTGTTCAGATCACAACCCAGATGGCGCCACCTGCTGGTCACACTGGAGCATTGCACCGAGGCCATCTGATTGATAAGGCCATCTTGGCTGCTCACTTCTCCAGTGACTCAGTCTCTGCTGATGAGAGCCCTACATCACCATACAGTGCGGTGCTAAATAGTTTCTATTGCAGTGTTCACTGGATTCTCCCAATCTTACCAACAGCACCCATTAACAGTGCATTGGCTTTATGCTCTATTTCTGATCTTCTTTACGGTTGGCTTATACTCCATCATCAGGGCCTCGGGTCCTGCCCAGGGAATGAATACTTACTTCTATCCACATTGCCACACCATGACCTGGCCCGTGGCCATCTCCCTGGAGGATCTCATCAATCCTATGTCTTCACCTGTCACCTCCCAAATCTCACTCTTGCATCAAACTTGTGTCTCACAGCCCACTCAATTCCGTTCTTCTCTACCTATATCCCCCTTTCTCCATGCTGTACCCTTTAGCTATGAAGTTCTGACTTTTCTCCCTTTCTGCCCATATTTCACTAATTCAGTCAATGAACATTTTGTGTTACTATGTGCAAGGAGCTATGCAAGGTGTTCAGCAGACAGTGGAGAAGCAGAGGAGCATGGATCCTCATCCTTCACTCCTCTTCTACCCTGAGCCCCTTGTGGTCCCTCCTACTTCTCAGGCATATTCTCATCTCAAGACCTGTGCACTTGACGTTCTTCTGATTATCGTATTTTTCCCCCTGTAACTGCCTTAAGGTTCAACCTGACCACCTACCCTCAAATTGCAAGATATCTTCCACATTTTAAAACCCCTTTCCCTGCTCATTTTTTCCTTCTTTTTTTATTAGAATATACTATACCACAGGTTTAACTTAAGTACTCTCTCTCTCCCTCAACCCTACCACTACATGCTAAGGTCCACCGAGGGCATGCTTTTTTCTCTGTTTCCTTCACTACTAGGTCCCACAACAGATGCTCTATTAAAAAACTACTGAGTGAATAAGTGAATGAATGCAACAGAATACACAAACTCCTATAAAAAAGATACTTGACATGTTCCAATCAGATCTCTGTAAAATATGTAAGATTTTAATTCTTCTCTACTAACAGCAAGGGTAGAAACAAAAGGGACCATAAATTTTAGAAAGAAAGTTGTCCCTTGGAATCAGAGGAACTGCAGAAACAGACAAAATGTGAACGAGGGAGTTCGTGGGATAGCCAAGTTGATATTTAATAGAATTTTCATACACTGAACATTTCATTCGAGGATCACATTCCTCCTCTGCAGGACATGGCAAAGAGCGAACCAATACCCAGCCTCTCAACAATGAAACAAAATACACAGTATAACACCCTCAACTCCATTAGATACCTTTTTGAAGCCAGTATCTCCATCTTCTTGTTACACTTAGATTGGGGTGTGCTCAATTGTTGCCCAAGTTTGGATGGGGACCTTCTAGGGAACTACATTGTTTCAGGGCAAAAGGTCTTTAAAAATCAAGGACAGGACGCAGTTGCAGCTCCCACCGTTTCCACTCCCAAAGCAGGCAGCTGGGAGGGGGCTCCTCTGTGTTGTCTAGACCCCAATTGGGGTCAGAAAAGACTCTCAGAAGGCCCCCAATTTGATAATGAACAACTCCTACATTTCTTTCTTCAGATCACTGTAGCCGCAGACACTTAAAAACTGCCTTCTCTGCCCTTCCGGGAAGTTTTTCTTGATGGTCAATTTGTAGCAATAGCTTAAATCATGACTTTGAACTTGGATTTATCACATTCACACACCACCTAGGGTAAAGCAGGGACACTAGTTATATCCAGTGATATAGGCATGGACTGATTGCCCTGGTCAGCCCCCGAAGGAGTTCCTGGGAATTTGTGAACCCACTGAGACACATCTGCATGGATCCCTAAGGGACAGGGAAGTCGGTGTCAGTGGGCATATAGAACCCTTCTTCTGAAGCACAGTGTGGGGGGATGTGCCTATGTGTACTGCAGGTCTGGCTCTCCACAGATGACAGCATCCTCCAGAGAAAGCAGTGCTGTGTCACAAGAGGCTGCCAGTCCTGAGGGATGTCACCAGCTCGGCTTTGTTTCCATGGTAACTATACACCTCTTTCAGACTGCGCTGTTCACCATTCTCACAAAAGGGTTAAAACTACCTGCACACAACACCTGAGAAAAAACACACCCAGTAAACACACTGTGGCTGGATGTGAGTGGCCTCGGGTGGCTGGCTCCCTCCTCGTGCTTGTCAGGGACTGGAAGAAGGGGAGAGGGGCTTGCTCCTACAAGAACTCAGCTTTGTGCATTTCCATGGAAGATTCCGGCCACTCAAGGAACTTCTGAAGTTAGAGTAGGTGGCCTGCTGGGCACAAGTTTTAGTGAACAGTTTGGTGGCCTCGTTGCATTTTGAAAACTCATGCTCCTGCTAAGAAGCCGTTAGGTTCAGGCATTTAAAAATATCTTGCTCTGAGGTGACACCTTGTGGCACGGAATGACAAAGGCCAATAGCTTTCACTCGGCAATAGAGGACTTCACCAAAAACTGTCACTGTAATAGTCGCAGCACTTTCTCAATGCCAATTCTTTTATTAATTCTACAGATACTTATTAATTACCGAGACTATTAAAAACTTTTGGATGGATTCGGACATTTGAAATCTGTAAATCAATTAACGGTATTTGTGACTGAGTATAAATATTTATTCAAAATCTGTAAATCAATTAACGGTATTTGTGACTGTGTATAAATAGTCAAAAATGGAAAAATGCAGGGGTTCATTATTAAGTGCAAGCATTTTGTAGCTTTCTTGCTTCTTTTCCTTGGTAAATACTGAATTCCTCTATGCCAGGCACTGGACCAGACAATCACACCTCGGAATGGCAAGAAGCAGCTCCCACCTGGCCCCTGCTTGATTTCAGAGGCCTCTTAAGAAGGTAAAAGAAGGGATAGTCATATCCATAAATAAAATTATCCTGTTGAATTGATAATTCTGGGGCTTTGCATACATATCAAAAGTTCCAGGGGAAGGTAAACTGGACACGCTGGCACCCGCCTATAATCCCAGTGGCTTGGGAGGCTGGGGCAGGAGGATCAAAAGTTCAAAGCCAGCCTCAGCAAAAGTGAGGCATTAAGCTACTCAGTGAGACCCTGTCTCTAAATACAAAACAGGGCTGAGGATGTGGCTCAGTGGCTGAGTGCCCCCGAGTTCAATCCTCCATGCCAAAAAAATAGTTCCAGAGTAAACATTAACACATAACAGCAGCCTCAATCAAATATCAAGTTATGAGTCAGCAGGACACTCAAAATGTCTTAGGGTCTCTGTTTTGGGGAGAAGGGTGTGCTGGGGATTTAATCTAGGGCCTCACACATTCTTGGCACAACCTACAGCCCAGCTCAAAATGCTTTTACTGAAGAAAGTTACCTGAGCATCCTCTAGAGGCGGGGTGGGTACTTCTGGCCACGTGGTTAGAAAATCCAGGACTGGATGCAATGATATGAAACACTTCAAGTTCTATTATG